TTTATATGTTTTTGATTAACATCACTCATCAATTGTTAAAGAATACCTAGCTTATGTATCCAGTGTTTCAAAAAAATTTAACATAACACTTATGTATCGAAAGTAGAAGATCTGGGGAGTTGTAGGTAGTATAATATCGCAAACTGCTTTTTTGGAATGTTTTTGTTGATTAAATAAAATAGGTGAGACGGTATGAAGAAAAAAATATTTTTAAATAAACGTAAGACCTTATCAGATTCTATTCTGAAGCCAAAACTGTCAGTATCATGGACTGATGTGCCCAGCGAACCGTTTTAGTCGCTTGTAAATACTTATCGTTTTTACATCTCGATTCCGTAATTTTTTTGTCAATTAAACGGTCTAACAACACGTATGGTGGTTCAAGATCTAGATAAGCCGGTTTTAACCTATCAATACTTACGGAGTCGATGTTTCCATGTCTTTCTACCATGAAATATTTAGATTTTCTCAAGACAACCTTCAAAGGACCCTCAAATGGAGGGCTAAGCGGTGCTTTTATTTTGTCACATCTTATTCAGACGAGCGTGCTATTGCTTAGATCTTTAGGTATATATGTAACGCAATTGTTCACGAGAATTCGTTGGCTTAAGTTTGGACATATGGTCTCGTAGTTGATCTATGTAATTTTCTAAATTAAGTTTTCGGTTGTTAGTATCAGGGTTGATGAATTCACCTGGTAATCTCAGAGTTGTTCCGAAAACCAGTTCCGCAGCTGAACATTGTGTGTCAGTTTTGACAGATGTTCGTATTCCCAACATAACTAACGGTAGGAATTCTGTCCACTGATTGGGGTTTGAGTGAGATATAAGGGCAGCCTTTAACTGACGGTGGAAAAGACCTGCCATCCCATTAGCCTGAGGATGATATGCATTACGGCGTATCCTATTGGAGCCTAGAAGTTTGGCCGGGTTATTAAATAGTTCGGATTCAAATTGCGCTCCTCTATCCGTCGTTATTGTTATGAAAACCTTGCATGAAATCCTTGGCTACTGTTTCCGCTGTGATGTCCGCTATCGGGATGGCTATAGGGAATCTGGTTAATCGATCTATGCATGTAAAAAGATAATTAAAACCGTTTGAACGTGGTAAAGAACCTACCAAATCGATATGCACATGGGCGAAACGTGCATCTGGTTGCGAGAAAACACCTATGGGTGAATTTGTATGACGATTAATCTTTAATTGTTGGCATGCTGAACACTCTCTAACCCACTTGTGCACATCCTTCTGTAAATTCGGCCATATATATACGGTGTTGATTAGCTTAGTTGAAGCTTTTGCGCCAGGATGAGACAAAGAATGAAAGTTATTAGATATCAACTTTCGCATATTTTTTGGGAACGAAAGGTCGCGGCATTTCCTTGGTCGTGTCACAGTAAATTAGAATACCATCGATAGGTGATGAGAACTGTTTCAGATTAAGACTTGAATTGTTTGTTTTAAGTGGGTTTTGTAATTCTAGATCCTGCTCTTGTTCGTGTCTCAATGTCTTGAAGTTTACTGTAGACTGCTGTAGCACGTTCATTTCTAGTCTTGACAAAGCATCTGCCACCTGATTGTCCTGACCTTTGACATGTTGGATATCGCTTTTGAACTGTGATATATAGTCAAGGTGTCAGACTTGTCGAGGTGAGTATTTATCGGCTCTCGCTTTTAATGCATTCGTTAGTGGTTTGTGATCCGTAAAAACCATAAATTATCTACCTTCTAACATGTGTCGGAAGTGTTTAATGGTCAGGTACATTGCAAGAAGTTCTCGCCCGAAGGTAGAATACCTTGTTTCTGCTGGAGCGAGTCTCTTCGAGAAGAAGGCAATTGGTTTTCAGGCGTTTTTAACCAGTTGGTTAAGGGTGCCCCCTACTGCTTAATCTGAGGTATACACCATCAAAGCAGGTGCGGAAAGAGAATTCGGGTACATCAACGTAGTTGCTTGAGCCAGTTTATCTTTAAACTATTTAATGGCTTCGACGGCGACAGAAAACAGCTTGAATTCTTTTGGTTTTCCTTTAAGTGAATTTGTCAAAGGTTGCATTAATTGTGCACAACCGGGTATGAATTTGCGAAAAAACTTAATTAGACCTAGAAAACTTCTCATTTGTGTAAGAGAACTAGGTATGGGGTATTATTTGATGGTGTCCACTTCTTTTATCGGTGTAATCCCTTCTGGGCTTATTGTGTGACTGAGAAATTCTAGAGTTCGGACACCGAAAACACACTTTGATGTATATTCATTCCATGTTCAACCAGTCTTTTTAACACTGCTCGTACATGCTGTTCGTGCGATTGTAAATCGTGGCTGGCAATTAATAAATCGTCTGTATACCCCTGTGCAAATGGCATATCTCGAAGTAGGTTATCCATGAATCTTTGAGATGTTTGTGTCGCATTTCTCAGGCCGAATGGCATGCGTACAAACTCGAACAAGCCAAAAGGTGTAGTAATAGCTGTCTTGAGGATGTCTTCATCAGCCACCGGGATACTGTGATATGCCCTGACTAAGTCAATTTTAGTAAATATGTTCATACCCCGTAAAGCGTTTGTGAAATCTTGGATATGTGGTATTGGGTACCTATCTGGTGCGGTTTGAAGGTTGAGGGCTCTGTAATCCCCGCACGGTCGCCATTGACTATCAGAGGGACAGATAATACCCAGTTGTAGCATACAGTCAAATTCGGCCCTGGCAATTTCGAGCTTATCTGGTGCTAGTCTCCTGGGTTTTGCAAACACAGGTGCACCTCTGGTTTCGACACTATGACTTACTTTTAGTTTGTCTTTGGAAAGCTATGGGTTTGGTCTAGTTAAGTTTGGAAATTCCGCGAGTATATCTTGGAATTTCGCAGATGTTACTGGAGGAGTTTGAATCAGGTTAAGAGGTGTGATGTGACTTTCTTTGCGTTTTGTGTAATTTGAAGTTTCTTTCAGTGTTAAGCGTCGTTTCTTAGTGTCAGCTAGAAATTCGTATCTCTCCAGAAAGTCCATCCCCAGTATTGCCAGATCTAAATCGGCTACAGCGAAAACCCAGAGGAATAGCCTCCTGAACCTCAAATCTAGTGTTAAAATTTTCTGCCCAAAATGTCACGATTTTGGTTCTATTGGCAGCTTGAAGTGTAATTGGTGATGTTTCTCGACTCAGCTCAGTTTTATTTTGAGGGATGATACTAAGAGCAGCGCCAGTATCTACCAGGAAGTTCAAATCAGAGTTCCTGTCTCTAACATAAAACAAGCGACTGTTTAGGCTCCCCTCCTCAGTTGTCGCGACCTGGGGAGGGGTTACTCGTTTCCCGCTGTCTTGAAATTATGCTTAGGCCAGGCGCATGGTTACATGCACTTGGTTGAGTTGACACTGAACTTCCAGTGATACCAATAGAACTGCCCAGATTGTCTAGACATTTGTGAACTGTTTTTTGACTTGTATTCAGTAGGGCTCATCAATTTCGTGCCTTTAGGTAACCCTCGTGATATTGATAGAAAAAACCAGACAAGTAGTGAATAAGTTTTTATTTAGATCTTCGCGCTGTCACAGTGGAGCGTGGGATTATTTGTTCAGATAAACAAAGCCTCTCAACATTCAACACAAGGTAATAGGAAAAATAACGCCTACACAAAATATGGAAGTGAATGAATATTTGAACTATAATAATAATAATAATAATGTTTTGACATACACTTAGTTGTTTGAAGTGAACTCCTAACCAACCATCTTAAGCTGTTACAGACTTCTTGGTTGGGGTCCACGTGACTATCGTAACCAATGGTTGGAGGCTGTGTGAAATGGCTCAGAATCGATCACAATGGCGTCGGTGTATACACTCTCTGTCTCCCCTTAGACCGTGAGAATGAAGTCGCTCTATATCTTTCTTTTTGCGGACTAATTCTTTCTTCCTTACTATACCCTTATACACAATTTCTCTTTTATATATTTCTACCATTGAGGTAACTACTTCAATGAATCCGGTGTTCATCTTGCTGTGGCAATGAGGTATGGCAACTTGGGCCGATGAATATTTGTGCCTGATCCTACATTGAAGCTGAATAACTGATGTAGGGGACACAACTTTACCAAAGAAAGCCAACCTTTAATACTTATATATGCAGAACTTGACTCGTAAATCCTAAAAATGTTCTATCCATCCCATACGTTCCAAAAGATTCCACTATCGTACTCCTCACTAATGAAAAGGACCTGAGTGTTTTTCTAAGTGACAGTCTACGTGTTTACTTTCTATTGAAATTCTGTAACCAATAAAGCTTATTCATTCCCAAGGTCTCTTTCAATAGCCTAAATTTAAAATTATTTTATACCGTTTCCACTGCTTAGTTGAAGTCTTATTCGGGACTTCTACATTATATCCCCCCCACGTTTGGGGGGAAATTGCTGTCTCGGGACGAGTTTAAAAGCGAGAAACTTGAAAGTTTCCTGAACCAATAAACAACTTCTGTTCAGCTTTCCTGAAAGCTTTGAATTTTCGACCTGTGTATTAAGAAAGACATGGGAAAATAAAACCATAAAATATAGATTCGGAAATGTCTAAAACAGAGCTTTAATACGCTAGGGTAACAAATCAGACTTCAGAGAATATTCTTTGGAAGTAGTATGCAAACGAGCTCGAACAGAGTTCCGCACAAACTTTTTCTAGGCTAGAATCACCAAGCTGTGATACATTACGCTAAAAATAATGGTAACGGAGGTTACTTAAGAGTCATTCAAAGGAATATTAGACACTTATTTTAGTTCCACAGGTACTAAGTCTGATCGATCTAGGTTATACTTGAAGTCCACTTCCACTATAAACTGTATTCTTTTATGCTCATCAAGTCCCAAAAGGAATATAAAAGAATCAGTCATTTCCGTGATCAAGAACGCTTCCTTCTATTACTCGAACTCTGATCCCAGTGAACAAGTTTGCTTTTTGGCTCTCCGAGATAAGATAATGTGTAGTATACATTTGAACCATTCTGTTAAATAAAGTTTGTGTCTGGCAGTACCCCGCCATGCTCAAGTGTTTGCGTTTCTCCTTGTTCCCTTGTTTTTAAGTTGTTATAAATCAAGTAATATACCTCTGGAAATGGGTGATCGATACAATATTCATACCCAGTTAGAACATTTGCAATCGAAATATGTTGGTAAGCCACATTCTGATGCCATTAATATTCTTTTTTTTAGGTACAGGTCATGCTGATACCACTAAGTGGGAATGGCTAACAAACCAGCATAGAGATAGTTGTGCATCCTATCTGGGTCACTTCGACACACTTAACTTGTTTGCTATATGCGAAAATGAGTGCAAGGCGAGAGTTCGATTTAACCTTCTCGAGAAAATGCTTCAGCCATGTGGCCCTCCTCCAGAACGTCCTGAGGCATAGTTTAATTTTTAATTCAAATACTCCATAGTGTATTCCATCAAATTACAACCTCTAACACTTGGTTTTGCCTGATAAAACCTAAATATACGAAAAACACGATCAGAGTTGTTTTGTGTAGTGTGTTGGGTCGCTCATCTAAATATCACGGTTCCAATCCTCTTATTAGAGGTTAATCTGCCGAAATTTGACTCAGGAGAAGCGTCATTCCCTGTGTATTTTCGTATATGCTGTACCAATTCCACTTTTAATCATCCCAATAGTTTCAATACTAATACGTAAACTCAATGTCGTTAATAGTTTGTGATATTATTTGGAGCTTGCAAGATAGATTCAGCCAACAATTTTATATAGATTAGTAATGTAGCTCAACTGCTAGAATAACTTGAATAACCATTCAGTCAGTTGTTCCGAAAGTAATCGTTCGAATCAAATGATTAAATTACTGCGTTCTGTGTTCTTTTTTCATGGCAATAGCATCTATGTTTATGGGATTACTCGTAATTGTCATTGTAATTCGTAAATATTTAGAATCACAGTTCTAGCGTTTCGTCCGGTGGTTCTTCAATTGGTTTTTGTAGCAAGTGACTTATGTGTTTTACTGTTAACCACGGAAAACCCATTTCAATAGTGAAAGACACTTCACACAAAACGTGTATTAGACATATTTCTGATTCAATAAAATGACTTCATCGGAAAACACGCGTTGGCTGAGGTGGCTGTAAACCTTTATTGCGTACTCCGAGTTGGTTGGAATAAAGCTAAGAGCGGCTAAACAAAGACCGATAATTCATCAAGTCACTGATTGTTAGTCCGAAGCCTGTTAGAAGGAGCGAGTTATTTGGTTGAGGCTCGCTTAGTAGTTGTAATCAATCCCCAAAGTCATAGATCGCAAAGCAAAATTGGTTGCGGCTGCTTTCGTTCCCCATTTAACTGTAGATCTTAATTTCATCCCATGTTTTTCCCTTCCTTTAAAATTAGAGTTATATTACTCGGTTTTCTGCACAAATTGATATGATTATTTTCTTTGATTCCGATGTAAATTATTTTTCACACTTTTACTGTAAGGATTGGCAACGTGAACCAAAACACACCCGTTACATGTCATATTTTATAAGTGACTGGTTAAGTGTTTTAGCAGTCACCCTCTTATGTGGAATACAGTCGTATTAAACAGCGCAATATATATACTTACCTCGATGGTACATTTCTTTATTCATTGCAAACAACGGAAGCAAGGAATTTATCCTTTATCAACACGTACCAGCATTTCCTCGAGAACTTATGAGACAATAATAGCATTGCCTCTGTTGACCTTGCTTGGGCTGTTACCCTGTTTTTTGATACACGCTTCCCGATGTAAATGACAATTAGTGAATAATTTAAAGGTCAGGACCGGCCTGAATCAGTCTGAACTAACGGTAAGGAAATAAATAGTTGAGTGTATCGATCACTTCACTTATCCCATGTTGAGACTGCTTGATTGGAGTCGTTGTGATTGTCATAACCAGTCCTTAGAGACCTTGGATGATATAGATTAGAATTGGTCATATTGTAATTTTTCAGATCCTGAGTCCCAAATCCTCATGGTTTCTTCCTCCCATATCTAACCTTTTCTATTACAAGTGGTACTGTTATTATATCTACTATCATAGGATTTATCTCACTGTGTTAATGTGATGTGACTTTCGATCGGTCAGTCAGTAACAACGTAGAACTTCGTACGTACGTACATCAGTTCGAGTTGCCATGCCACATTAGCACAGAGATGCAGTTGTCGATTCAAATCCCGTAGTTGTAGAGGTAGTAAGAGTATAAACAGTAATCGGAAAGATTAGGGTCTGAACGTGTTATTCAAGAAGTATAATCTGGTGGAGTAAATTTGGAAATAGAAAAAAAGGGACATGAAGAATTCAGAAGATTAGAATTTGGGAGAACAAAGAGTGTATGCACCTGCGCCATTGCAAACGATTTTGAGCCATGTCATTCAAGGTTATATGACTTTATTTATTTATTTATTCGAACACAAATGTTGGTACAAGGGGGTACCAGATATATATGCGCCACACAAAACAGTGAGAATGGGGAGAGAAGAAGAAGTTAAGGTGCGTATAAGAAAAAAAGAACAATAACGACCACAGATTAGTGTATGGTAGTGTAATAATAATTGGGAAAAAAGAAAGATACAACCAGAAAGAATTCCTTCAGTTAAGGAAGTTCCAACCACTTTTTATGAAGAAAGTACAAGAAGGTTACAGCAGGATCGCCACTGGCTTCTATTCTGAGCCATATCTGATAACGTATCTAGCCACTGTGTTGGCAAAAATCAAACGAGCTTTTCGAATCCATGCTGAGATTCCGTCCGATACCAATCCATTAGGGCTGATCAGACTTCCAAGATAAGTGAAGTTGTCAACGCGTTCGACTACTTCACTCCCTATCCTTAGTTCAGGTGTTGACGCAGACCAGTCCTGAAGCAACAACTTGCATTTCGAGGGAGAGAAGCGCATTCCAAACATTCTGGCATTGTTGCTTAGTGCTACCAGAAGACTGCATTTTGTCAGCGTCTTCACCAAACAGGACTATGTCGTCTGCGTATTCTAAGTCGATAAGTGGGCCTCCTGGTAGGAGATCAGTACCCGAGAATTCAGCCGACGAGAATGTTATTTCCATCAATAGGTCTATGATGAAGTTAAACAAAAATGGAGAAAGTGGACAGCCTTGACGAACACCACTTGAGGTCGCAAAAGTAGATGACAGTTCGCCATAAGCCCTGACTCGACTAGTAGTGTTCGAGTAAAGAGCCTTTACAAGGTTTATGTACTTTTGAGGTACGCCTTTCAATGATAGACACTGCCACAGAATCTCGCGGTCTACCGAGTCAAATGCTGCTTTTAAGTCAAGAAAGACCACCATCGTCGGACGCCTATAAGTATGCCTGTGTTCTAGAACCTGACGAATGGTGAATATGTGGTCGATGCAGCCACGACCAGGTCTGAAGCCAGCTTGGTTTTCTCGTGTTTGAAGTTCACGAGTCTTAGTTAGGCGTTTGATAATTATCGAGGCTAGTATTTTAGATACTATATTTGTTAAACTAATCCCTCTGTGGTTGTCACAGGATGATTTTGACTCTTTTTTATATATTGGGACGATAAGTGATTGCGACCAGTCAGATGTGATAACGTCTGACTCCCAGATCTTAGTTAAAATATTAGTCAACCTAATCGCTAAAATTGGACCACCATCCTTAAAGACTTCTAGAACCAGTCCATCTGGACCAGCTGCCTTCCCTCGTTTCAAATTAACTATAGCCTTCTCAACTTCAGCAAGAGTTGGGGGGTCTACTTCAATGTTCCATTCACACTGTCTCGGAATGGAGGGTAGTTGTAGAGTAGTTGAAGGCCAGTTGAACTGTCCTCTGAAATGTTCCGCCCATCATTCTAAACGTCTGGACTGAGAGCAGATGAGGGTGTCATCTTTTTCCGAAATAATCTGACTTACACTTGACTTATTAATTCCAGTTTCTTTTATTAGTCTGTAGAGCTGTCTTGTGTTCCCTATAGCCACCGCCTTTTCCATCTCTTTTGCTTTCGTTGCCCACCACTGCTCACGGTCGTTCCTTAAACTTTTGCTTAACCTAGATCTGATTTGTTGTCGCTCTTCATCATGTTCGGAACCTGATGGGACGAGTTTGCGAGAATCCATCAGTGTGATAGACTTTGAAGAAATCCACTGGTTCTTTGTAACTCTGTGGTTTAAGTCACTAATGGATGTCACTGCTGTTTCCACAGCTGATTGTATGCCTTTCCAAGCAACATCTGGGTCAGTCTCGTCTTTAGAACTACCTAAGTGTGACCTCAGTTGTTCCTGGAACCTACTTTTGGTTTTCTCGTTACTCAACTCAGTTCTAACGGGTCTTTTTACTGAGGCTTTTTTGCGTTCAGTGAGGCGCAAGCAGATGAGTCCAAGTAGGTACTCCAGAATTAGCGACAATCTTGTACTGACCCTCTCCAACGATGACTGATGGCAATATGGTCTATTTGAGCCCATCGTTGGTTTGGTGTAGGGAAACGCCATGCTAGACGATGTCTTTCCTTATGCTTAAAATTTGTATTTGCTAAAAATAAATGGTTATCTGAGCATAGTTGCAGCAGACGATCACCATTATCTATTCGCTGTGTCGGAATACTAAAATATCCACCTAAATGCCTTTCTGTTTGGTTTAAACTACCTATCTGAGCATTAAAGTCACCTGCTACGAGTACTATGTCTGAACGTTTAGCTTTCTGAAGAAGTTCAGATAGCTTTCTGTAAAATTCATCTTTCATTTCATCTGAGCTGCAGTCAGTGGGAGCGTAGGTAGAAACGACGAAAAGGCGACGACGTGTGTCCCTATCCTTCCGAGTTCTTACGTAGCCGTTTAGCCGAACAGCACATAGACGACTGTTGACGGGGATCCACTCTAGCAGTGTTTGTTCGGCCTTCATGCTTAGTGCTATGCCTAAACCTGCCAGTCCACGGGAACTGGCCATCGGGTCACCAGATACACGTAGGGTGTATCGTTGGCTCTCCGTTTTGCCGAGGTGAGGTCAAGTGAATAACCACACTGGAACCCTGTATGCGTGTTTCGGAGACACAGCACACATCAATGGTAAGAGACTCAAGGGTTTTAGCCAAGGAATCCTGCTGACCGATTTGACATAGGGTTCGTACGTTGAAGACTCCAATGTCTAGTTTGGAGCGAGGTTTCAGTAGACCTGGGACAGTGTTTTGTGCACTAGAATCGTTGGCTATGGTGACACTTGAGGTGGAAGCCGAGAGAGGAAATTTAGAGTTGAAAGTTGATGTAGGAGGAATAATATGAATTGAAGACGGAGGTTGATTATGAATCCAGTGGTCTTGAGTGCTGTTAGAGGTATGAGGGCGGTTATCACTTCCCGGTTGTCCATATACTTAAGATGATATGACCTAGAGACACATGTACTTCAGCTAACTTACATTGGTTAGACCACCACAAAAGATAAACCCAAGTTGGAGCTAATGCCAGTATTTCATTAATAAAACTGAATGGTTTGATCTTCTCTAGAAATCAACTTACAGCATCAACATGTATCAATTACACAAAATGGGGCGGCTAGATTCTATCTCGATTACCATCTGTTTGATCTCCATACTAGAATATGTAACAAACGGAAGAGTGTGATGAAAAGTAATTTGCATTAGCAGGGAGAACCTTGGTTTCCCATGGATATATTTACTGAACTACATTTTAAACTCCCCTTCACTTCTGGTCAACCTATGATAGATCACAGTTACAGGACGTTTGTGTGATTTCGAAATGACACTGTTATAACTGCAGATGTTATAGCGGGAATT